CTCTCTCTCTCTCTCCTAACCCTCCTGTATCTTTTTTGCCGCTGCCTCAATGGCAAATACATGAGGGTCCGTTTCATCCAGATCCCGAAGTGCCTGGGCGAGTTTAAAGAGATACTCCGAATTCGGCCCACTACCACCCGCACACTCTAATATCTGCGCCGCGATATTCTCCTCCGTCTCTGGGCCTAAATACTCACTATTATCCTCCGTCGCCATGTAACACAAACACACCGCCTGAGCGGCAATCTGCAGTGGTTCACGGGTGTAAAGATTATATGGAATCACCTCTACGCGTGTGTATCCGCCCCTTTCACGGTGATCGAGTTGGGCAATCACCTTCTCCCGTGCGGTCTTCTCGGCTGGGAGTTCGTACGCCACGCCGGCAACTGTGGCGTTGGGCTCCGCACTCGGGAGAAGTGTGACGACCCGGCCGGGTTTGCCGGGGACGCCGCGGTGATCACTGCTGCCCTGGTAGAAGACCCGGCGATATCCGGTGATGTAGCAGGGATAGCTGTTGGTGTACTCGAACTCCTGCTTCCAAAGAATGGAACCATAGCCAAAGATGAGAATGACAGGTGAATCAGCGGACATACTAGTTGAATTTTTAGTATTATTTATTTATTTTTTATTTTTGTATATATATTCGTGTGTGTATATATATATATGGATTTGTGTATGTAATGGAAATATGATATATATATATGTATTTTTTTTTCTTTCTTCTTGTTTGCAAAGTTGTTGGGTTTACACTGTCAAACTCGTATGAGCAGCAAATCTTATATAGTTGCAGATTGCTGTTTCCTGAGTCTCGGTCTTGGCGTTAAATCTGTAATGAGATACCACAGAAGAGAGAGAGAGAGAGAGAAAAGAAAAAAAAAAAAGAATATTTAGATGTACACAGAGAGACATACTGGAATAAAGAAAGGAAAAAAGAAAGAAAGAGAGTGAGGAAAGGAAAACAAAGCAAAAAAAAGGGAGAATAATTCCTCAAAAGAAATTAAGGATAGATGCACACAAAAGAAGGGGAAAAGTAAAAGAAAAAAAAAACAGTGAATGCGATGGTATATGGTTTACCTACGCTAAACTAAATAATAATAATAATAATAATAATAATAATAATAATAATAATAAAGAAAGGGAAAAAAAACAGACAAGAACCACAAAAATGTGAGAAGCAAAATAAATAAAAAAAGAAACATTTCTTCTTATTTACCTCTTTTATTTTTCTTTCTATAGTTTTTCTATATATTCACTCAACACATAGAGCTTTTTTTCTAATAGAGGAAACATATATATATATATATATATATATATATATATATATGTCTACACAGACACTTCCCTTCCCTACACATATAGGAAAAATCTATTATCTGCACTCACTCTTGTTTATTCCTTAATTCTTCTTTCTTCTAGTTTTTAACACTAATATCGCAATCGCCGCCTTTCCTGCGGTGTTGCCAAACTCAAAGAACGCTGTCGATCTGAATTATGACTTGTTCGCAGAAAAGCCAAAGAAGAGACATCACATGGATGTGAGGCGGCATCCTCATAAACAGGACGTTCTAATGGATTACTGTTAAGCTCCGAAGGACCACTAACACTTCCCCCAACGACAAGAGAAGAAGAAGAGGAAATTCGAGATGGATGACTGTGCACATAGGGAGTGTACAGTGTTTTCTCACTAAGAAAGCAAATAGCATGTAAAAGGGCCAAACTAAACGCTATGAAAATAATAATATTAAGACTAAAAAGAACCCCATACCACACATCCGACCAGGCACGACGATGATGATGTTCTTGTTGATCTTGTAAAACCACAATTCTATACAAAGTGGGTAAAAAGGTAAACACGACTCGTAGAATCCACAATGGGATGATCACCCGTAATAAATGAAAAGCATCACGAAGAGGTCCTACTAATGCCCATCGTGTATGGACCACAAAGGAGCCAAGAAGTAACGCGAGAGTGAGAAGTACAGCCTCATGTAATGCTAACAGTACGTACACCACAGCAGGACTGTAGACACTAGCACGGATACTCACAAGAGTGAGATCACTCAACATTAATAATAATATAAGGCAAAATGAGAGACGGAAACCCATTTTTTTTGCAAAATAAATAAATAAAATAAAAAAAAAAAAAAAAAAAAAAAAAAAAAAAAAAAAAAAAAAAAAAAAAAAAAAAAAAAAAGAACTTTCACTACCTTCCGTTATTCTCTTCCAAGTATCCTCTTTAACTATTTTTGTTGTTGCTTGTTTCTATTATCTATCGTTTATGTATAAAAAATTCTCAGAGGTCTTCATGGGCCTGAAGTACAACAAAAACAAGAAACATAAAGAAAGAAATAGACAGATAGAAAGATACACAGACATATACATGTATATATTATAATAGGTTTGTCAAATCCCTATTAGTGCGAAACCCATGGGGTCTTTTCTTTTTTTTTCCAATTTGTATTCCACATAATGAACAAAAAAACAAAACAAAAAAAACAAAACAAAAAAAAAAAAGTACATTCTGTCATGAACTTTTTTAATTCTTTTTTTTTATTGGATGCAAATATCACAATTGTGAACAACTTTCATCTATACATTTCAAAAATGGCATAAGAAAACCATCAATCATCTCCACTTCCCCATCTCCCCACACTACCAAAAAATGATATCAAATTCCATATTTTTTTTTCTTCTTCTCTCCTTTGCTTCTCTCTGTTTCTTCTCTTTTGTAAATAATAATAATAATAATAATAATAATAATAATAAACTTAGAATTCCTCTTCATCACGAACAGTGAATTCTCCTTTTCGGTATACGTAGGATGTTTTATTGTATGGTTCACGTCCACACACTCTTTGCATGGGCAGTCGATTACATAATGGACAGGGCCGAGTTGCATCTACTTTCATATGAGTTCCAAACTCCATAGCGGCAATAACAGACAAATCATTTGGAGTGGCATGCGCATCTAATCGAACCATAGATGTTTTTTTCCCTCGTCCAATAGTTGTCTCTTCGCCTTTTCCATCTATCGTCTTATTACTACTCACACCGGAGCTCATTTCACCGAGTCCACCTTCCCCTCGTAGAGAACGTGCAGGTAATGAAAAACGTACATTTGATCTTCTTGGACCTCGATCCATTAATGTGGGTGAATGTGTGGGTGAGGGGCCCTCTTCTGGACTGTTATTAATAATCACTACAGAGTTATGACAACCAAGAGCATTAGGACTATCGGGTTCAGCCACAGCCTCATCTGCAAGATCATCCACATTTGGTTCCTCAAACTGTGGTAACTCTGGTGTTGGCTGCATAACTCTAGAAAGTCGTTGTTGTTGTGGTTGATGATGATGATATTCACTCTGTTTACTACCTTGTCCACGATCATCCACGTATGAAACATCATCTATTTTTAAAAAGGATGGTAATGAACGACGTCCAGCTCTTGGTCCAGTATGTAGATATTCACCAGGTACAGAATGAATGGATTTATTATTCATCATAATAGAATATGGTTTTTGAATTTCCCGCATTTTTCGGGAACGATAGGCACGGTATGTATGTTGAATAATATATGCAGCTTCCTCTTGTCGACTAAGACCAAATGGAACTCGAATATTCACAGTGTGTTCACCCGTAGCAGGATCAAGACTATAATCTGTCTCCGCTACGGAGACTCCATTACCACTATTACTATTCCTCTCCTGTGTGGATGTTTCACCGTAATCTTTTAAGAAAAATGGATGTGTTAATATCTGTTCTACCCGTAATCGACGTGAGGGAATAGGATGCATAAGCCAAGTAATAAGTTCCTTCGCCTCAGCTGGAAGACTTGGATCTGGTGGACGAACACGATTATATAAAATATTCTTTGTTGTGTTTGCCCCATCATGTGGATAACGACCATGATGAAGCATAAAATACAATAAAACTCCCATAGACCAGGCATCTGCAAGATAAGGATCATATCCCTCATTCCTTAATACTTCTGGGGCTACTGTATGCGTTGTACCCCGAATCTCTCTACAAGGTTTTCCTTTTGTAAAGTACATACAAGATACAAGATAACCAATCTTAACTTGATCACGATCATTTACCATAATATGATCTGGGGCTATTCCAAGATGTACTACATTGCGATTATGCATATGCACTAATCCACGTACAACTTGAGCATAATAGTGTTTTGTTTTCTCTATAGGAAAAGAAGTTCGTTGACCACTAGAGGTTTCACTTGTATAAAGTTTAGTTAAATGCATTGGGGCAAATAATTGCATAAGAATATATAAAGAAGATTGAGTCTCAAAACATTCAGCCGTTTCAATAATATTCTCATGCTTTGGAAGTGTTCGCATCACATGAATGGCATCACGAATACGATTCCACATCCATTGGGCCTCTGATAACACTGCTTTATTATAAATGCGTACAACATACTGGGCTCCAGTTACAATATGTGTACAGAGACGTGTTCGGCAATCAAAGTAACCAGCAGCAAGAACTTTGCCCAACTCATATTTTCCAACAATTTGTTTATGAGATGCTGTCATTAAAAAAGAAAAAAAAAAACGGGGTACAGAACTCTTTTTCTCTTACTTATACTTTCTCTCTTTCTCTCTCTGTGTGTGTGAAAGTAGTGATTGGGGTTGATTGATGGTAAAGAGGGGGTGGTAACACTGCTCCCACACTGTGGTATGTACGCTAAACAGTAAAAAAAGAAAAGAAAAAAAAGAGACATGATTTATAATATGATATGAAGAAAGAAATGTACACATCACAATAAAAATAATAATAATAATATAAGGCATTGACAGCATTCTGTCACATCCTATTCAATTCAGATAGTCTTTTATACGCATGTTTTTTCCTTTTTTTTTTCGGATCGTCACGGATGTATCAATTGCAGTAATGTATGTGATAAAATGAAGAAAGGAAGTAAGAAGAAGAACTACACAGCAACTACAAAATACATCCCCAATACAAGAGCATTTTTTTTTTCTTTTCTTTCAAATTTCTCCCTCGGCACCTCCTCCTTTTATATTTTGCAGTGTTTCCCACTCACTCACTCACTCATCCACCCAAGTCCATCACTCTTTCTTTCTTTCTTTTTCTCTCTCTCTCTCTCTCTCTCTCCATATATATATATATATATATATACTCTCTTTCCTTACATGCTTTACCTCTCTTCTTCTTCTTCTTCTTCTTTGTCTGTATTTATCGTGGGAGTTCTTTGCCATCAATGTCGGCATACACTTTCCCCCGCACCTCATCACGAAACCCATTGTATCGATTCATCGCCTTCTTCTGTACACGCTCAGTCAGGGAGCGATCACCGTATGTTGTCGCGCTGTTTGGTTCATTCTCATCCTCCACTTCCCCCTCCACGGCGTAGAGAAGTGTTTCCTCCACATTCTGCAGCAGCCACGCCGCGACGGGGGTTTCCACCGGTGGATTTACACCAAAACAGCGCGTGAAGAGTTCGCCCGGCTCAAACACCTTCACCTCCGCGGTGTTGGGCAGCGACGGGGTGGACCACAGCGGCTGGCGATAGACCGCCCCGCCGAGCCCCGCCATGTTCACCTCGCGCGCCAGAGCCAGTCGGTGCAGGGCGCTCTCATTATCGCGAAACCCCGCCACCGCCGGCCGCCGTCGGTCCAACGGAGACCCGCCGGTGTCCCGCAGGGAAAGACAAAAGTTGAGGGCGGGCACCCGCAGTGTGTACCCATCCTCCGCGTAGCGGCCATTCTCCCAGTCGAACCGCGACTCAATGGAGACATCACTACGCCAATCGAGATTGATGGAAAAGATACGTTGCGGCAGACGGCCCCAACAGAGACTGCGGCAGATGGATTGGGCTAACCAAGCAGTGCGCTGCCAGTGAACACGGTCAATGACGGCAATGCGAAGACTTATAGTAGGATGTGGGGCTGGATCTAAACAACGCTCCAGTAGTGTTTGCTTCTTTGGATAGTTGTTACCAGCAATGAGGGTGACAAGCCCCAGAGGGACATTACCACCATCCGCATTCTCCGCAGCAGCAGCAGCAGTTGCACCATCAACAGATGATGATGATGATGATGTAGTATTAGTATTATTATTAGTAGTAGAAGTTGTTGTTGTTGTTGTACCTATTGGGGATGAAATCAATTCTCCAAATTGCTCTGCTTCATATCGTTTATGAAGTAATGGCTGTAAATTCGCTAATGGCATATACCAAGTGACTATAGCAGCATCCATTGTGCTTATTGAAGTTGTGATTTGATCACGATCAGAGGGAGACATGATTAAATGGTCTAATGGTGCACGGATGCGGCTTGTGCAGCGAGCTAAGGAAGCACCAGCAGCTCCACTAATCATTCTTTTTATTTTTTATTTGATTTATTTGCTATTCTTCTTTTTTTTTTCTTTAATTCTTATTTTCTGTTTTTATTTCTTTTTCGTTTTCTCTTTTTTTTTTGTTAAAATAAAATTCTCTTCTCCCTCTTCACACCCCCCGCACACAAACAAACAAACAAACAAACACGGAGAGACTCTTACTACTTTCCTTCTCGTCTACGCGTTTATTACCGCGTTGACTTTCTTTTTCTGTTTCCCTACCCTTCAAGAAGAAAGAAAAGAGAGAAATAAATAAATAAATAAATAAATAAATAAATAAATATATATATATATATATGGTATGATAACAGTAATGATAGTTGATATTAATGAGACTATGTGTTTCTTTTATTTTTATTTTGGCGTTAGTGGTGGTTTCGCATTACAGCCTTAAAAAGAGATAAAAAGATCACATTAACACTGCATGTACACTTTACCACGGAATGCCCATACGAACAAAGAAGAGTTAAAAAAAAAGAGAGTCAAATTCCCTTAAAATTCAAAAAAAAAAAAAACCAAGAAAAAATGAGAAACAAGACTATATAAACTACTCTCCCCCAAATTATACTGTAAGAAAGGTTTAAAAAGAGATAAAATAAATAAATAAATAAATAAATAAATAAATAAATAAATAAATATATATATATATATATAACTGTGATGATAAAGAATAACCCAATGGTGAACAAATCCCCCATTTCCTTTACAGAAAAATCGTCATCAAAAGAAGGAGAGAACGAAAAAAAAAAAAAAAACAACAACAACAACAATTCAGACAAACTTTGATAAAGGAGAACATGCATGATCCTCCATTTTCTCTCCAGACATGACGTTAAACCATTTAACTCTCTCTCTCTTTTTCCCCCCTTTTTATTCCCTATCTTCTTTCCTGTCTTGTTTACATACCCGCAGCAGAACGGCTACGACCAAAACGACGTCTCTCCATAGAAAGAGGTTTCCGTGGTTTCGTCATGGAGGAAACACAAAATACATTTTCAACACTGCGGTGAAGTCTCCATTGTTGTTGTTGTTCTCTCTCTCGTGCGGCTGCGGAGAAACGTGAGGCTAAACGTGCACGTCTTTCTTTACCCATTCGTATCATCACAGCGCAGAGAAACACAACAAATGCCATCACACGCCACTTGGATAAAATAGAATGTTCACCTCGAACTGGTGATCTTTCATTTGAAGAGGAAAGACTTCTTGCGGTGTTTGGCATCTCAGCTGTTCTTGTCTTTCCACGCTTGTCAAGACCAATGATTCGATACAATAATGGGGATGAAGTCCGTTGAAGAATTCCTTCAACTGGAGGGGGTGGAGAGGCCGTTACTGATGTAGTAATATTATTAGTAATATTATTATTATTATTATTGTTATTATTATTATTAATGTTATTATTAGTAAAAGTAGTAGTAGTAGTTGCTCTTGTTATTGATTGTGAGGTCGATAGAGACTCTCCACCTTTTTTCTTCTTCTTATTCTTATTCTTATTATCATTATTATTATGATCTGTGTATAATCCACGAGAGGGACTCACTGCGGCTGCTGCAATCGATCTCATCACCTCTGCGAGTTCTTCCAGTCGTATACGTTTCATTGGATCACGGTTAAGAAGACTGAATACAGCACGACGTACGGTTTGCCTATGGGATGAAAATGAAACCCGTTGTGCGGCCATCATAGTAAGTGTGAGGATTCCCACAGCGAAGACATCCACATTCACACGATTATGATAAGAATGATAATGATAATAATCTTCTTCTTCTTCTTCTTCTTCTTTTCTCTCTTTTTGTTGTTGCTGTTGTTGTTTTTCTAGTGTTTGATGTTTATGTGAAATGGCAAATCCCGTTATTTGGACGTGTCCTTCCTCATTGAGAAGTACTGTCCATGGTGAGAGGGCCCCATGAATGATTCCACGATGATGAAGGAAGAGAACACCCGTAATGATTTCACGTACAATGCGACTAAACAATAATGGAGTGAATTCATATGAAAAGAGATGTGGATGAGAATAATGTTGTTCTTGTTCTTGTTGCATGATAATAGCCAATGGTTGCATCCCATCTATGTATGGATGAACCATAAGTAATTCTTCTCGTTCTTCATTTATAACTATATTTAATACTGGGGTGATATGAACATGATGAAGATTGCGTAGATCATACATACGTTGTTTCCAAGATGCAGAGAAGGGAATTAAGGATTCATCCATCCATTTCCCATCATCTTGATTTCTCCATAAAGTATCCATTTGCTTATTTGGTTCTTTACAATTATAATTATAATTGTTTTTACGGTTATTATTATTATTATTATTATTATTATTATTATTATTATTATTATTATTCACAACAGCAGTAGAATCACCGTGAGAGCCATAGCAATAGAGACGTGTGATAACAAGATTATGTGTGGTAGAGTCTCTAGCCAACATCACAACAACTTCTTTTCCTTCTCCCCAGTTTAATGGAATAAGTGCCTTATATCGTTTCTCACCTTCATGCCCCTTCTGAAGAAGAGAATAATCAAAGGAATAGGAGGAACTCTTATCATAATTCCCTTCATTACAACTATCGATTTCATACTTTGGCTCTTCTTCCTTTGTTTTTTCTTTTTCTTCTTTTATATATTGCAGTTCCTCACTATCTGTATCCATTAACTCCAATACATGGTGATTGTAATAATAATGATAATGTTGGCTATTGCAGGAAACACTGCTGCGTCTCCTTGTTGTTGTTGTGATGATATCATGCGATTGGGTTGGCCTTAACGCACTTCTACTCTTCATAGAATGTGCCCGATCTCTTCTTCTCCGTTCCTGTTCTCCTCCTCCTCCTTCTCCTCTTATTATTATTTCTTCTTGTAGTCTTTGTTGTCTTTGCAGGGGTGGTGGGAGCCTTTGTGTGAAGAAGACGGTGGGCGGCGAGACGGCTCTATCCATGATAACAGTATTCATATCCCAATCCCCCACACCTTACACAAACACCAAATCTCAATTGGAAGGCGTCCTTTATATATATATATATATATATATATATATATATATATATTTATTTATTTGTTTGTTTATTGTGAAGAAAGAAAAGGAAAAGGAAAGGAAAAAGGAAATGAAGCAGTAAACACAGAAGTATAATAAAATAATAAATAACACAGTTGAGAAGTAGAAGAAGTAAAAGAAGAAAAAAGAAATAAATAAAAAACGAACCGAAATCAGCTTTACAGAGTTATATTGCCTCTGCTGCTCATTGTTCCGCAAAAAAAGAGAGGAACTACAACAAATTCTCCATCTTTCTCTCTCTCTCTCTCAGAGAGATAGATAGAAACATAGGAATGTATAGAGATACAGATATATATATATATATATATATATATATATAGATAGATAGAAAGAAAGATACACACACCAAATAAACATCTGAATGGTATGAGAACAGTGAAGGAATACGAATACGACGAAGGGGAAAGAAAAAACAAAACAAAATGAATGAGATAAATGTAAAAAAAAAAAAGAAAGTGCATACTTTCTTATGTGACCTAATATCACAGAGAAATATTGTAACAGCAATAATAATAATAACAACAGTAGCAGTACATAAAAAAGAAAGAAGTACAGTCTTACAATTGACTTTTAGCACTTCTCTCTTGACAATAACACATTATTTTCCATCTTTCCCTTCTCCTATCCTATATTCGCTTCTTTTCTCTCTCTCTCTCTCTATCTATCCATACAGATATTCATTTTCTATCTCTTCTCCTCCTTTCTCTTACTCACGCAGCCAGTTTATCTTTCTTTCTTTCCTTCTTTCATATATATATATATATATTCCCTCCTTCTCTCTTTCTCTCTCTCTCTGTTAGTTGGTTCGCACCTGATAGTCTCCACTCTGCGTCACATACCGCACCCACGGCAGTGCCTCATAATTTGACTTCTCCGTTACTTTCAAATAACGCACTTGAAATCCCGAGGCGGTGAAGAATGGAATTTCAAACTTCACTTGAATGGGTGCCTTCGCCACAGCCTGCGGATCACTACTACGCACCGATGGGAGATGAAACTTGCAGAGACAACTGAATTGTTTGCCCCCACCCACACCGCGCAGACTCCACACCAACACACTGGACTCCGGGGCATATCGCAGTTTCCCCATTGTACACTTCGCCTCTGGTTTATTCGCATCACTTGGAATGGGAATGAGAAGATCCACAAAATTAGCGGTTGTGGTTCGACGGAAAGTTGTGCGGGCTGTGACGGTCATTTCCACTTGTGTGGCACTTCGTCTCGTAACAACACATTCCACCTGCACGAGTGGGGAGATCTTTTTACTGGAGCGATAAGTCATGAGTTCAAAATCCCCATCAGGGGGAATAAAGGTAATGATACGATCACTTTCAAATTGATTGAGTCGTACACATTGATGGAATTTCACATCTGCCATTTCCACTGCACGGCCTGTACGGCCACCGGTAATTCCCAACATGGCTTTATCATTTAATCCCAATTTAAGCGTTGGCATACCAGAGAGACGAACACGCATTTTAAGTTGACCGACAATTTCACTTGATAAGGTTTCACCTTCTGGGGAAACGAGAATATTAATACTCTCAATCACATCTAAGAAGGCTTCATTTCTGCGGTATTTATATTTACCCGGCATTCTCCATGGGGTTCCACCACCCATTCCTGTTACTGCCGCTGGAAGTTCCTTCACCCGCAATTTCTCCTCTGGTAATAAATAAGAAATAAGACCCTCTTGTGTAATATATTCCTGTAATACCTTTTCTTCTGTATACTGTGGTAAACCAAAATCACACATCTCATCCATTAATTCATATACAATCACAAAGTTATCCATTACGGTCTCTTCAGAGACGTGTTTAAAGTAATTCTCAAACACCGTCACACAACGACGCATAAACGCAATTTGCTGTAATGGACAAGTGTTTATTTTACTCACCATGAGGAAAAAGACATCATTTACGCGGATAAAACAGTAGGTATGTCCTTGTTCCTCAAATACAGGGGTTACACGGAACTCTTCCTCATCCAATACACGGCGTTGAAAGACTGCGGGTGGATTCTGCGCAATATCTCCACGGTATGAACGACAGATAAGAGGAGATCCTTTACTGTCTAAGATGTAAAATACCGATGCCATTTGATCACTATAAAGTAGAAAATAATTAAAAATAAATAGAAAGAAAGAATCCCCTACGGTACTACTGCTTCTACTATTGCTCTTTCCACCTCCTCACTACTAATAGTACTACTATCACAACAACAACTACTGCTGCTGTTGATTATGATGATAATATTGATGATTTTTTGAATTTATTTTCTTTTTTTTTTCCTTTTTTCCCCACCACCACTAGACTGAATCACAAATAAAAAGAAGAAGAAGGAAAGAACCATAATAATAATAATAATAATAATAATAATAATAATAATAATAATAATCTCTCTTTCTCTTTCTCATTCCTTCTATGATATATATATAAATATATATCCAATACAGAGGAATAGAGTATTTAATTAATTAGTTAATTAATTAAAAAAGAAAAAATAGAATCCTACAACGGTAGTGGAATATCAAGTGCGTCGAATCCCAACATAACAGAGATTACACGATCACTACACTTGCCATTACGCCGGAGTTCCTCCAGTCTTTCACACAAATATTCATTCCCTTTTGTATGCTCCACATCACAGTACATACCAATACCATATGTGCGGATGGGTTGTAATAACTCTACAAGACGAATGACATCATCCATACAATAATGTGTGGGGTGTCGCTTACCAGGTCCATACAATAAATCAACAATCAACACATCAATCTTCACAAGATCTTGTAAAAATGACATGGCCGCTTCTGGTATAAAACTAACATCCGAAAGATAAACAACACAACTTTTATCTTTAATATCAAGAGGTGTGGCTCCCACACTATGAAAGGCAACACCACGACCAAAAACAAATCCAAGCGACATGTAACCCGCTCCATGTTCCACAGGCACAGCATACATTGGGAAGTCTGATCCAAGTGCTGGAATGTAAAAAGGTGTTGGGATAGTATCTGGAAGGGTAAAGAAATCTAATGCAGTAGATCGACGTTTACCAATATTATTTGAAATCTTTTTTTGTTTACATTCTTCAGTGAAATGCTGTAGAAGTGCCTCATGAGCTTCTTTAGATTCTGGGGCAGGACCCACTAAACGACTATTACGATAAATATATCCAAATTGCTCTTTCATATTATTTACTGTTTTCGCAGAGGTATAGGTTGAAATATACTGTTTAACAAACCAATCATCATTTTCATCTACAGTCATGTACTGTAAATCACGCAAGTCATCTATTCCAGCCACGGCATCTGCGTGATCATGTGTAATCAATAAAGCATCTACATATTGAACCTTATGTTTAGCAAGTACACGAAAATAGGCATCACGAAATGTTTTTCCACAATCTATGAGTATATGCTTAACAGCTCCATCTGAATGAGAGGCATCACGTGATGGGACTGTAATGAGTAAACTAACATTATTACGTCTATTGGGTCCATTCATATCCTTTAATGCCGCCGCACAGGCACAATTACCAGAGAAGTGACCAATAACGGGAATAGCCGTAGAGACACCTGAACCGACAATTGTAATAGAAAATGTGTTGGTTAAGGGAGCATTCTCTTCCTTTTTCACCTGCTGCATATGTAAAAATCCGTCAAGCCTTTACTATTTAATCTATAGAATAAGGAAAGCAGCAGAAAAAAAAAAAATAAATATATAAAAAAGATATTCTTTTGATTGTATACACTTTACACTTTAATCATTTCAAGTCATTTTAAAACCCCATAAACCAATATTTTCTTTTTTTGCAATTTTCTACTTCTAGACGTAATTCCCCCACCCAAACTCGACTCCTTTATCTTTATTCCAGATCGTATATCAATATAATATATATATATATATATATTTATATTTATATATATATTTATATTTATATACAGTTTCTCTTCTACACTTTATTTTCCTCTAGTTCCATCAACATCCCTTATCTCCATACTTCTTCCCCTTTTTTTTTTCTCAGTACTCCTCTGAGGACCAGGCAATGAGACACACCGCACGTTCATACCATGCCTGCATCTTCACCTTTACAGGATCCACTTCCAGTTCCACCACTTCTAACATAGCATCACGCCGTGGATTTACATAAAATGGAGTAGCCAAACGACCACTCGTCATATCTTGAGATGCTAATCGCATTAATAATGAAGATTTTGAAAGCATTGTAGATCCATCAGATACAGTACTTGTGGCCACCGCTTCCCAATATAAGAGAGCACCAACCGTTGTAGAAGGTACAGTAGAAGTTGCAGGAAGAAGATTACACTTATGATCCTTCTCATCTAAAGTACAAGCAGAACATAATGTTAATCCAATAATATGCCAAGCATCGGATTGTTTTTCCTTCTTTACCGCATGTGCACGTGTGGCATTTTCAGATAAAAGTTCTAAACGAAGTTGTAACTGTTCAAGAGAGCGTTTATGTCTTCGTGCGGCTTGTTGTTTAGTGGCTGTAAGGAATGCACCAGGCCAAAATAAAAGTCCAAGTGATAAACATACACTTCCAATAGTTTTATTTCGTACAGCCTCATGCAAAAGACGTGCTTGTGTAAATCGATTTTGAAAATCTGCCATCCATTGATCCGCTATCGTTGGATATGTTTGATAGAAACGAGACCATTGTGGAGGTATTTGATCTTTTAATAAATAATCCATCATCTCACGTTGAATGGCTACAGGTTTACGTGATCCTGTGCAAATGTGTTCTAATGTTTGTAAATCATCCATAATTTCACGTAATCTATCCAATGCAAAGGTATATTCACGTTCAATAGCGACTATAGTGGGTTCATTACTGTTAAGATTAGATATTCCTTCTTCTTTTTCTTTACTTATTCCTATAGTAACAGCATCATATAATGGAACGAATATACGACGCCATGCTGTACAGAAACGTCTTATTTTTTGTCCCCATCGTGTTTCTCCAAACCCTGTTGGAGTTATTTGTTGTAATGGAGTAGAATAACTATGATCTGATCCACTTTCGGGTCTTTTATTATTATTATTATTATTACTATTCTTTTCATTGTGAATAATAAATCCTTTTATAATTTCATTCTCCTTTTCATCAATAAGTCGAACTGTGGTGAGACGTTCTAATGTAGCGACGGCATGTTGAGATGAAATAATACGAGATGCACTTGCAGGAAGACGGGCCCATAATGGAGTTCCTGATTCTGGTAATGCACGTACCCAAGTTTGAACATCTTGTAATGATTGAATATTTCTACACGTGAGGAGTTCATTAATTTCTTTATCTTCTGTTAATACAAAGGGTCTATTATCATCAAAGATAACATTACTCATAAATTCTGCACATAGAAAATCTAAGAGTAATTGATCAAATTCATTAATAATTTTACCACCATAAAGTGTTGTACCAATAATAGTTTGAAGTGCAGTCCATGGAATACGATCACGCTGAATACCCTCAATAGTTTTATCATTACTATTCTTATTATTATTCTTATTACGAGATGCCACAACCCAACTATCCACAGATTGTAAAATACGCCAATACTCCGTATCATTAAATTCATATCGTGTGGTCCATCCCATTGGAATATATAATAATCGTTCCATCACCACTGCGTGTAGCCATGCCGCTGCTAAATAGATTCGTTGTATTTCTGGTGGTTGACTAGCATGTACAGAGAAGGGTTGAAGTGCCCCAACCGTCTGCAAGAGAGAAGATTTCATCCCTGGTGGAGGTTCATACACTAATACCACAGAAGCCTCTACAAGACTTGCAGGAAGTAAAGAAGAAGATTCCATACATCGTTTACTTTCCCCATCTCCTTTTTCCTCAACAGTGGTTAAGGTTAAAGAGGATGTTGGAGTAGATTCTATAGATAAGACAAGTCTAAAGTTACGATGTAAATGTCCTTCTGAACACTCACGATGAATACGTTTCTCCACCGCATCTGCGTAGGAACGTGCGAGATGAATATTCTTTAATAATACCCATAATCCATCACTCATGGCTTGTGATAAGAAACGATCTGCGGCTTCTATTCCTGTTGTGCTTCCCATAACGGCTACTCGCAAAGGAACATCCATCGCCTGTGCGAGGGCCTCTAATTGAAGTGTGGGATCACTACCGGCATTTGAAACGAGAATAAGAGGCGTGCGATCAGAGAGTTCGGCCTGAACTACCGCAAGATCAGGAACTTCCGCTCCAAAGAAGGTACTGATCACACCATTCTTCTTCTTATTGTTATTATTATTATTATTATCATTATTATTATTATTATTGTTGTTGTTTGTTGTTGTCTTTGTTCCATCAAAAAAGAGACGCAAAAATTCAAACACCGCCGATGTGAATGCATCTCGACGGGTATATAATAATAAAAAGGAAGTGATAAAAGCACGTCGAGTACGTTCCCCAGCCGCATTGGTTGGATTCATATGAAATGGTGGTAATATTTCATTATAAGGAGCCGCAGAGGCGAAGTACTGACGCCACAATTCCGCATGTTGTGGATTTAATAGAGATTCTCGTACAACTGTGAAGAGTGGTCTACGCAACATCACCGCAAAGGCACTTTCAGAAGAAGGCACACATACACCACATTCACGTAAAATAACAGGAATTCCAGAAACCGTATTTCCATTATTAATATTTTTACTATTATTACTACTAGTATTCGTAGTGGTAGTACTAACAGCACTGGCAGTAGTAGTATTAGTAGTAGTAGTAGTAGTAGTAGGAGCATGTAATGCATCCTCAAACCAACTCCATTCTTCTAATGTAATCTGTTGTCCAATACTATCAGGAATACCACTTCGAAGTTTTCCAAGAATAATAGCAAGTACAAGATGATCTTGGGCAAACATACCACGTCTTACACGATGATGGACAAGATTAAATACTTCACGTGTTAATACTTGTAAACGTACCATATCTTTTTCTTTAGATACTGTTTCTTCTTTTTCTTCTTCTTCCTTCTTTGGTTCTTTATCTGAGGGACTTGTGACTTCATGACTCTTATTCGTCATGTTGTGATGAGAGGGTAATACATCTAATGCATCTGCAAGAACACGGAAAATAAAATCTACACTGTAATGATAAAGTCCATGTAATTGTGAAAGACGACGTAATGCAAAATACATCTTTGCTACTACAGCAGCAAGTGGTTCATATTGAGCTTCTACTGTTGTAATTGCTTGCATAGATGCTTCACTTTCTGCAATACTTTCCTTTAAAGCATGTGTTTCCGCCTTTAATTTACCAAGAGCAATTGTTAAGGCATCATTCTCTAATAAACCCCCTTCACTACGTGCAATGGATGTAAGTAATTCCTGTTCTAATACCCGTAATCGTAATTGATATTCCCCTTGTACACGTAATACATGTGCTCGACGGGCATCTAACTCTGGGTGTTCATGCAGTAAAACACGATGTCTACACTGTGCTCGTAGAGAAGATTCTGTAATAGTGAAATTCACTAAACAGACTTGACCAGCCACACCAGGAGATGGTTGATAATGGGAATTACGAGTGACAAGGAAGAGACGAAAAGAGGCGGCAATCTCCACATCTTGTCCACCAAGACGTGTAAGAGAATGTCCACCCACACGATGAATTTCTCGATTCATTAATGGACTTAAAGCAGGATCTATAAATTCAGCATCTTGCATAAGAATAGGATAACCAAAACGTACAGCCATATCCAATTGTTTTAAATAACCAACTTTACTAAAACTTGTCTTTTTAATATTATCTTTAGCATATTGTTGTAATAAAAAGGCATCTGCAATTCCACTAGGATCAATAAGTAAAGGATAACGTTGACAACGACTTAGTATCATGGCATTTTCTACACAAAGATTATCCTTTGGAAGTCCATACTGTTCCCATAATAATCGTTCTTTAGGAGTTACTAAATACTCTACCACACTACGTAGATGTTCACGTACAGGAATTTGTAATTCCTGTAAACATTGACGCCAACGTGGAAAAAGAAGTGTTTGTCGTGTATATTCATCAAAGTAACCAAAATAAGCAAGTGAAGCAGCTGCAAGAATACAATCTCCAATAATAGTATGAACTTCAGTATCAAAACTCATCGCTTCTGATTCCCATCGTTCACGTTCTTCTAATAATTGCTGTAATAACTTTGTCGCCGTCTCACATCTTTTGGCTACACCACTCATTGTATTTTTAATAGTTGCCATCTTCTCTGTCATGGCTTGATAATCTGCTTTTAATTGTAATAAGGATTCCTCCATTGCATGTATTTGAGATTCTGTTTGCGCTAAATCGGTTAGTTTTGCGGCATGAGCCACGGTAAGTTGTTCAATACGAGTTCGTAAAGGTCCCATCGCTGCATAAATAGTGGCATAGTTTATCTGTGCTTTTGCCCATTGTAGTAATGGTCCAGCCGCTTTAGAAGCCCGATAGGCCGCTTCCACTGTAAATCCATCATCTTGCAACATCACCCGAACAGTTTCCCGGGCTTCTTCACTTACACTACGTGGTTGAAAGGCTTTCACTTCACTAAGGAAGTCATCTCGGCGAATATGAAGTTTAATCACATCCCAATCATCTGCTCGTTTTTCTCCCATCACAACAAGTACCGTCTCTAGGACTCTTTTTACCATTAAGGGTGGAGTGGTGTAGGCTCGTATTTCTCGCAAATATTCGGGTTTAATTGTATTTAATGCCACTTCTGCTTCTCGTAAAGCCGGCTCCACCTCTGCGAGTTGTTGTTGGACATTCGCTTTATCCAGTATAATAGTTTTTTCCTCTTCGGAGAGTTGTTGTCGAAGTTGTTCTGCTGCCTGTTTTTCCTTTTTAGTGGTTTCTGTATCTGTAATAATACGATCTAACATAACTTGTGCTTTTTTACTATTTTCTTCTAATACCGCCTCATGTTCACGAAGTTTTATCCGTTGCTGTTCCACCTCATCGGAAACCCCATCTAACTTGGAGAGACCACTACGAAGATGAACTAATTGTTCTCGTGATTCCCCTTTCTTTTCTTCATATAATAATTGTAATTGTTGTACACAATCGGCAAAGTGTCGTGGAGTAATAAATGTACCATAATGGGCATTTTGAAGTCGTACAAGACGATTAACATCTTCTGTTATTTCATGAATACGACAAAGAGCATAGGCTAAGGCATCTCGTGCCTCATCTTCACTTTTTTCATAAATTCCTTTAAAAGAAAACATAATATCAAGATGTTGAGTGAGTCTTCGTGTGAGTTGATATCGGGTACTACGATCCCAATCTCCAAACCAATCAATCGTACAACGATTAAATAAGGCAGGACTTGCTACCGCACGATTGGCGAATTCTCCAGATGATGGATCTATAGTAAAGACAACATGTAAATTACGTTTTACATTACTAATAAACCATCGATAAAGTTCTTGATCAGAAGTGGTATCAATATAATTGGCAGATACCATAGAATCAAGTCCCTCTAGACCTGTGGCCATATGATCTTCAGAAATAGCATCACCAACAGTACTCATACCATGATTATTGGTATTCATACTATTAAATGATGATAACCCTAATCCTTGTTGTTGTTGTTGCTGTTGCTGTTGTTGTTGTTGTTGTTGCTGCTGTTGTTGTTGTTGTTCTTGTTGATAGTGTTTTTGTTGTTGTTGTTGTTGTTGGGCTTCAATACTACTTCGTATTTCTTCCATTAATTTTCCCCATTCATCCCCATCAAAGAGACCTGGAACCTCACCAGATGCCAGTAATGCATTCATATACTCTAAGAAACTGGATTCCAAGATATTACTATCATCAAAGATAAAACAAATACGTTCTAACTTACATCCAGCCCGACGTAATACATCACGAAGATCTCTTTCATAATCATCTAATTGATAATTACGATGAACACCGAGTCTAAATACAGTCATTCCATTCATCCATGCTACCAATTGGGCAATAATTGTTTTTCCCACACCAGAGGATCCAGCAAGAAGCATATGACCCAATGGTTGCCGCAAAACACGATCAATACGAACAACATGATCCACCATCGCATCATACACCACAAGTTTCGCATCTAATTCCTCTTCACAAAATAATTCTAATTTCTCTTCAATATAAGCTCTGAGTTCATCTCTTCCAGATTCCACATATGTATGATGAAGAATAGTGGAATATAAGACAGGTCGTCTAAGGGCAGCGGCGGGAGATGCGGCATCACGGAAATGGGCCACAAAACATCTATCAATTGCGGCATCTGCCCATTCCTGTTCAGATCTTTCAACCAGTCGATCATAAAAGACACGAAGTCCTTCATGAACGGCGAGTCGCACAAGTCCATCCACGTGAATTCCACGTAATTCCGATTCATTCCATGTTTGTAATGCGGAGTGAATGGCACGAGTCCAGCGAGAGAGATCACGTGGGGAGTAGACATAATGAGGTTGTTGCCATGAGTTAAAACGAGATTGTGTAGCTATATACATATCAACCATAGATCGTGCTAATTTTTGTTCCGTTTGGGTTCGTAAGAGAGATTTATTAAAAGATAATACTGCACGACAGTAGGAGATGTAAATAATATGTAAACTTTCTTCTGTTGGGAAATCTACAAATAAAACGGGTGCCCAACGAAGAAAACGATGAGAAAGTGCTACTCGTCCTGTATCGGTTGGTGGATTACAAGCCGCAATCACTTGTACATCTTTTACTGTAATCCAAGCATTATCTCGACTACGATAATATCCACCACGTTCAATTAATTGTCGAAGTAATTGAATAACCGATTGTGTTCCATATTGATCTAACGCGGGAAGATTAATTTCATCACAAAAGAGTAATAATCGTTTCCCTCCCGCAGGTGACATCACAGGCCCACGTACCGTACTCTGCACAACACAATATTGTTCTAATATACGAATTACATTTTCCGGTCGTGTTCCACTTGAAAAATTCATAAACACCGCATCATATTCCACAAAGTGTTTAAGCATAGATGCAATGGACATAGTCTTACCAGAACCAGGCGGTCCACAGAGAATAGCCGCATTTCCTCCACCAATCCATGCCCGTAAAATATCCTCATGTCGACAGGTATCTACAGTGGGAATAACCGTATCACTACAAGCCACTTGTTCAGGTCGAATAAAGGTTTCCTGTACACGTTCTCTAATAGCCCGCCAAGTACCAGTTTCCGCATCTGGTGAGATATCTAATAAAGAAAGAAGACCACTACGACTACTGGTAGGATTATTTACAGAAGTAAAGTAAACTTCCACTTCTTGTGAAAATCCTAAATCCAATACCAAATGTTTACGAAGTTCATAACTAAAGGAAGCACCAAAACCCCAAAGAACAGCGTAGTCTAATAAATTTTTAGCATAATTTTGTATGATACTATTAGAGGGAATTTGAGTTTGTAGTTTACGTAAATTCCATACTTGCCAAATACCATCAAGAAGAAGTGATTGTACACTTCGAAGTAGTTGTAAATCATTTAATTCCATACTGGCTTGTTTTCGATAACGTTCTGTATGAATAATACGAAATGCTCGTTCTAGTAAACCATCTTTTGCAAATGCAGAGGCCCATTCATTTGCCATAATCTCTTGTAATTCTAATACTTCACGTTCTACATTACTGAGAACATTCGCACGTCGCATAGAATTATTATTATTATTATTATTATTATTATTTTGAGTAGTGTTATTCAGATTTCCACTCAACTCATCATGATCATTACTATTGGTTTCCGTTAATATATCAGAAGCACTTCCTCCTACTGGACCTGTTGTTGTCATTGTATTAGTATTAGTAGTAGCGGCGGCTGTTTCTAAAGATTCCTTCACACGATTAACACCACTACGAGCCACCATGAAATAATTTCCACATGAACGTATTTGTTGTTGTCCCTCTTCCTCTTCATCATCTCCCATATCGGCAAAACGTCTTTTTCCATTCTTACGAACTAATGGTATACGATGAAAAGCACTTAAATGTCGATTTAATAAACTTGTAATTGGAATAGTCCCACGACTAAACCACACCATACCACAACGGGATACAGTTGCTGGAGTAGCATAACGAAGATCTTGCACTTCAAACACAATACGCACAGACGGTGGAAGACTAAGACGTTCTCCATTTGGAAGTGTATATACTTTATTATCATCCAATAAGGAGTTAAGATTTTCCACCCAATGTGGATCTACATCACCGTCAAAGACAATCCAATGTTGTTGATGGGCACGATTATCACCCATTTCATTTCGAACAATACGGCGAAGGATTTCTGTAAATACACCATCTTTCCATTCACGTGTAGTGGCATCAAATACACCAAATAAATCTGATTTTTTTAAGGCTTTAGGATCAATTACATACGCATGAGCCTCAAGTGGACTACGATTCCTTCTTTTATCTTTCTTTTCCTTTTCACCATGATTAAAATTCTCATTTATATCTTCATTAGGATCATTTTCTTCATTATTATGATCTTCCTCCCCTTCCCCTTCTTCCCCTTCTTCTTCCTCTTCTATATCAATAGGGAGTCTTGCCATGGCTCGCAAGAGTGTTTTCCAACAACTTGTCTTCCCTGTACCACTGGCCCCTACCAACATAAGTCCATGCCGCATTTTACGTGTATGATATAATTGACAGATCTTCTCTACCCACGCCGGTGTGGCCGCCAGTCGACTCTCACGACAGACTTCTTCAATTGCCGTTCGCAGTGCCGTCATAGTAGCATCTGGAAGTGGACGACCAGGGAAGAAGTCTCGTAATAATGGATAGAAGAGGGAAACATCTTCGGTAACTAAACGTGGGGTGACACTAAGGATAAGACTTCGAAGGACTAATTCACATTCCGCATCATCTAATGCACTCGTCACCCCACTTTGTATAGTCTTACTACTTGTAGAAGATGAAGTTTCAGGATTTAATTCTTCTTTCGTTGGGAGTGCAGCTCGCCGCATATCACCTGCGGTCATGAGAACAGACTTTAATGCACGTAATCCAAAATCATAGTGTGGTTGTCGTGATAATTGTTCTGCACATAAGTGAAACAATGGAACAATTTTCCGTGAAAGTGTCTCTGCTGTTCGAAATCCTTGTGCAAATAACATTACTTCTGCAATAGTCTCACAATCAGGTGCAGCCATAGTCATACTACGAAAGAGTTGTTTAAGATTACCAGGTAAATTAGAACGACCGGCAAAACCTGGATTCATTGTAATAAAGAGGGCAACATTTTCTCGTAGTTGTACAGTTTGTTGGGCGAGTGTTACTGTAGGAGACTGTGCTCGAAGGGCTTCTTGAATTGTTTGAATTTGCTGCGAAACAGCAGAAAGGACACGTTCTTCTAATCGATTAAATTCATCAAAACAACCCCATGCTCCTACTTGACAGAGACCAAGAAAAATACGACCAATAGCATGAAAATCAAAGGTATCATCACAGTTAAATACCAAAACATGTCTACCCAATTGCATACCTAATGCTTTTACAGTTTCTGTTTTACCAGAACCTGCAGGACCAACAGGAGATCCACCTAATCGTGTATGAAGAGCTTGTGTTAAGGTAAGATAACATCTATCTGTTAAAGTCGTTTGTACAAGACGTTTATACCAACCAAGATACTCAAATCCATGAAGAAAGGTTGCATCTGCCATTCGACATTGTAGTTCTGTTCCATCATTACTTAAATACATTCGAAGTACACGTAACCATTCAAAATCTTCAGCAGATTTAATACGTTTTAATTCAATCGTTCGAGAAACATCTCTTTGGTAAACAGCAATAGTAATAAGTTCTTCAATAGCCTGACGTAATGCCTGGGTTACGGATGGTGAAGTCACATCTAATGCCAATTGATCTAGTAATTCTACCATATGAGTAACGGCTCTAGATGCTTCTCGTTTTCCATTTCCTTCTTTTTGTCGGATTGCAAAAGTTTCCTCTTGCAGTCGAACCCACCAAACTTGAAAAGCCAAACAAACAACTTGTAAAGGAAAAGATGTCATCCACTTAGATGTTACTCGTCCTGTTTCTGTTAGTGAATTCACAGCTAATACAGTCATTTGATGTAGAGATTCTACCATACAAGTTTCTACTTCAGCAAGCCAATCATGTAAGGCTCGTCCTTTTAATACCACAGGACGAATAATTTTAATAATTTCTCCTTCTGCACTTCCAAATCCTATAATATGAGTTACCATATCATCATTATCATGATTACAAATAAGACGGGCAATAGCGGTAAACATTTTTGGTAAATGTTTTTCTATAAGAGCAGGTTTACTACTATTCCCAAGAGTTTCAAGTAAATCATCATCTCCAACAAAGAAAAATCGTGGAAATTGAGATCGTTGTAAATCTAAATATGTACTAAGAGCTCGTTGTACTCGAGAAAGTTGAGCTTCCAATCGCTCTAGTGATGGTAATAATTTGGAATCATCAAGAAATTCCTGAGCCTTCACGACAGGTACTATACCTAAATTAGATTTAGAAGGCATTAAAGTCATAAATTCACGTGTGGCTCGATCAAATTGAATAGCATCATTTGTGAGTTGATGACGAATATCGGCATTTCCAGTAAAAATACCATCTAAATGAACCCAACGTCTTTGAACAGCCATAAGTACTTCCAGTACCCGTCGTAAAAGATTGAGTCTATTTTCCCAATCTGTAACCATAGCAATAACATGTTGTGAAGTAAAGAAAGGACTTGATCGAAGTCCTTGAAAAGAATCCAAATCATCTGTAAGTCTTTCAAAAACAACATCCCATCCTCTAATAAGTACAAATTGTTGTTGATAAAGTGTTGTACTGAATTCAAATTCATTCCAAAAGGAAATAATACGTACCATTTGAGCTTCTAATCGTCGTTCACCTTGTGCAAACTCTAATACATCATGATAGACCTTTGCATTTACTATGGGATCACTACGCCAAATATCTCCTACTGTTAAGATATCTAATCTCCAGGAAACATGTAATCGTGATTTCAGTGTAACCCAATGTCGTTCAGCTCTTTCTAATGGTGCCATCGCATCAGATCTTAATTCATCCATTAATCGTCTACAAGCCAGACGATTTTCAATACTACGTTGTAAATCCATATATGCTTGATGACTACGAACAGCTTCTGGGAATTCCCGTACTTCCTTTTCTAAAGTGAGAAGATCTTCATGTAATTGCCGTGGGGCCATTTCAAAGAATGGGGTTCGACCAAGTACAGCTAATCTCTGATAAGCACAGGCAATATGATCACATACCCATTGAAGTTCTTCCATTCGTGCAGTGATGGCTTCTAATTTCACCTCGGATAGGAGTGGGACATTAAGAGCACCTTGAACATTTAAGAGTTGTTCTCTCTTTGTTCGTAAACGACTAACACGATCTTGTAATTCACTAAAACGATTATGTAAAGATTCTACAGTTTCTTCTTGATCTAAGAATTGTTGTTGTTGTTGTTGTACTTGAATATCCATATCTTGAAGAGCAGATTCAAGTTCATCAATATGACGTCGTAGTTCTTCTTCTTGGGATTTAACCGCTTCTCGTAGGAATGGACGTCGGAATTCTAATGCCTTCATTTTACGATCAATAAGTTCACGATAAGCACGAAACTCTTCCTTTAGTTTTCGAACATGAATCCAAGAATCCGGTAGTGAAAATCCTTGACGTTTTAAATAATCTTCTGCAGGTGCTAGTGAGGCAATACGTTTTTCTGTATCTTGTAAACTTGTTTGAATTGTTGGTAATTGACAAAGGAATTTCGCAGCATCATCTGTATCGTTAATCACATTACAATTTTCTGCCAATGCACGTTCTTCTATAATATGATGATAACATGATTCTAACCATTTCTCTACTACATCACGATATCGTGAATGTACATACTGGGTCATATTATCAAGTTTCCTTCCAAGTTCTTTTTGAGCATCATCAGCTACAATTACAATTCCTCCTACAAGTGTACTAGGTTGTGTATAATCCATTTGTTTACTTGCTAATTCACGTATTTGTTGTAACGCATCTCCCCATTTCTTAAGATCATCTCCAAGTCGTTGTTGAAGTACACCAACTTCAATATTCAATAGTTGTTGACCCATTCGCCATTGAGCTTCCACTTCAAGTGTATCTTGAATACATTTCTCAATGGCTTGTAATGGTTCTACAAGCGAACGTATATCTATCCACTCTAACAATCTATCATATGTCCCTCCTCCTGATGTGATTGTAGAGAATAATGAAGCTGTTGGAGTTGTTGTTGTTGTTGTTGTTGTTGTACTCACAGTTGTTAAATCAGAAATCATTTGCTGTGATGATGATGATGATGATGATTGCAATTGTGATTGTTGTTCTTGTTGTGATTGTTGTGATTCTTGCAGTAGTGTTGGCATTCTATGCACCCAAGCAAAAGAACGATTTAATTCCCCCAACCAATGATGTCTACACGCCGCAGCCGACATGGATAATCCAATCTCCTTAAACACCACACGCATACGAACCCGTAACGGTTTGAGATGAAACTCTTCTGTTTCCACGCGGGGATCCAAAAACTTCGGATCTCTTCCCATTGAGAGAAACTCATCCGTCCATCGCCGCAGGTGTTCTTCTATTTGCCAAAGCATTGCCGCATTTAATCGGGGTTGAAGTTGTCGAATCCACCATTCTGTATGGACACAACACTTTAGGGTGAGACTATTCACAAGTGCACACATTTCCTCTACGCGGAAAACAATCATTTCTGCTTTTTGAATTTGTCGGCCTCGCAGGAGTAAAATCCCACGTTCCATATTCGCTGCGATCTCACGTACTTGAGCCGCCGCGAGACTAAAGGCATACACACGTTCAGAGAGTTCCTGTAGGAATTGCTGAACACGTCCATCATCTGACCAGCGAAGTTGGGCTCCATCGAGAAAGGATTGATAAACACGAATGTAATCCTCAGTGGCGAGATGGATCATTAACTCATCTTCACCATTCACAGCAGCCTCAAAGGCGTTAATGAGTTCTGTAAGGCAATTGGCAATACGGAAACGTTCTTCATTATGACGGAAAAAGGAACGTATATCACTTACAAGTTGTGCATGTTGAGTTAATAGACGCATACTATCCAACATGTGTAGATCTCGTAAAAGTGCAAACATCTGACGTGGAATATGAGGCATAACCATACGCTTTGTATATATTCCACTTTTATCGTTATTATTATTATTATCATTATCATTATTATTATTATTATTATTATTACTATTACTATTACTATTATTATTACTATTCTTATTATTTTCTTTACCACTATGACTCTTACTGGAATTGTTTTTATTATGTATACCACTTCGTATTTCCACTAGCTTCAGCAAACGACCCTTCATCGTTAATGTATCTGGGAATACATCAAGTGCCGCAATGCGATGACGGACATCTTCACACCATTGAACTACACGTTCTTGCAGTCTCTGTTCAATGGTATCACAGAAGTTTCTCACATCACGTACATCATCATTATTATTATTATGACTACTACTATTCTTATTATTCTTATTACTATTATTATTATTATTACCACTACCACTATTATTACTATTATTATTATTCTTCGCCGCCGTTCCACGTTTATCACCCACACAAATAAGCATTAAACGTGATTTGGCATAACTAAGCGCATGTGGATCATTTAAAAGTACAAACTGTTGTGCATTTTGTATATAAGCATCCCGTGACCATTCCACCTCATCTTTTGCATGTACAATCTCAAGATAGGCAAGTGCATATGCCGTACCATGGACTTCCGAGTCTAACTCCAATTCACATGTAATAAGATCTTGTAATGGATGACCAATAAACTGTGCGAGTTGCTCATTTAAACACCAGCGATGTTCAATTGTACGTAAAAGGAGTAATTGATGCCATCCAGTTTCGGAAATAGCATCACGTCTAACCAGATAGGCTTCAATTTCACGTAATATAGACTTTTCCCACATCATACGAGCCACCACAGAAGTAACACCAAAACGAGCTACACAAATTCGCATCGCATCTTGACAACGTTCCGTATCAAAGTATTGTTCTCGTACATCTTTCATTTCTCGATTGATTTGTTCTAATAATGCCATTTGAAAACCAGATACAACGGCTTGTATCTTTTCACGTCGAAGTGGATAAAATCTTGCGTAAATGCGATAAAGCGAAGGACCACTATTTCTCTCTCCAACTCTTCCTGCCGTTACAGCAACAGCCGCAATAGCCGCAGCCGCAGTGGAAGAGGAAGTGGTGGTGCCTATGGAATGAATATTATTATTATTATTATTATTATTATTATTATTATTATTATTATTACTCATTTCCTGCGCAGTTGCTAACATTGTACCTACAAGCCGAGCAAGACAATCATCAATATTTGATAATTGACGTTCATAAGCCGTGAGAGCCCGTTGAAACTCTGCCGTGCCGGTTGTACTTATATCCCATAAACTTCCAGATGCCGTGACTTCCGCTGTAAATCGATCATACGCCTCTGTCAGTTCTGCACAAAAGGTAGAAGGACTATTCATCATAAGACTACCATCTGAAAATGTTTGTCGTAAGGCTCGTTCGTAATGAAAGTGTTCATTCACAAACGTCCACAACTGTCGTGCACGGATCAAAACAAATAAATGATAAGGTTGTTGATTTTGATTTTGTTGTTGTGGTTGTTGTTGTTGGGATTGTTGATTTCCGTCATGTGTGGGTATAATAGACGATATGGAAGAAGATGAAAGTCCTTCAGATCGAAAGAACTTTGCAGCTTGTGTATATTGCTGCTGTAGATGATGGAGTTCATGTATAATTCTCCGTAGTGATTGTAATTGAGCCTCTGGTGTTTGCATATGCAGAATATCATGTCGGGTAATAAGAACAACAAGTCTCTCTGCTAATTCTCGCATAATACTATCCAGTAAACGCATACTCTGTGATGCTGGATATCGTGTTGGACGTGTAATAGAATCAAATATAGTTTGTACCAATGCGGTATAATCCTGTTCTTCTACACTATCAATTTGTTGAAATGGCACATCTCGCAAGTGAGCTAAATACTCCTGTACGAGTTGAACATGTTGTTTAAACTCCATCTCATAACTTGTCTCTACACGATTACTGAGGAGACGGTGAAGAAGTCGCCATTCACGGCTTTGAAGTTGTCGAAGGAGATTTTCAAGCCAACGTAAAACGGCTTGCCAGTACGCTACCTCATCACGCACACTTGATATTTCTCTTCTATCAAACTTCACAGAAAGAACAGAGGAACAACCGTGTCGAACAGAGATTAACTGCTGTAGGAAACTTGGATCTGTACGTTTATCAAGACCAATAATCTCCAGTAACTGTTGTTCATCTGCTGTTGGGTAAGAAACACAGAGTTCAAGGAGATCGGAATGTACAAATTGTTTTAAATCCACCTCTGCAAGTAATTGATAACGAGATCGAATAGAACTAACGAGATCTTGCATTTGTGAACGCAAAACAACTTCCCGTTGTGTGCGTAGAATGGGTTCATACACACATTGTAGGACAGCCTGCAATCCTTCCAGTGGTTGCCGCATACCAACAGCATGAATGTTAAGTTGTCGCAATGTCAAAGGTTCATTTGTTGTTGATATTGTTGATGTATTTATTATTCCATCACTATTATTTCTCAAAGAAACAAGAATACAACTCACCATTGACTGTGAAAAGGGTAATGGAACCCACGCCCTTTCTTCTCTACTTTCTCCAGTTTCTCCACTCTGTTCAGTGAAGGGTGTAGTAATAATATTAGTATTAATATTAGTAGTAGTAGTAGTAGTAGATCCCATAATGCCTTCCTTTGCTGGGGATTTACTTGGAGTGATGAATACAGTAGAGTGTGTTGTATCCGATTGGGGATGAAATAATCTTCGCAAGTCATATGTGGCCACAACTCTTCGCTGTGGAGATGTATCTGTGGATGTTTGATAATATACAAACTCACAGAAAGCCACATGATAATTGAGATTATTACTATTACTATTACTACTATTCGTATTTCCACCCCTACGATCATCCTTTTCTCTTGTTGTTGTTGTTGTTTTTATTGGTGTTGAGGTGCTGTATTCTTTCTTTTCCCCATCGTTTTCAGTCTTTTGTGGTGTAGTCTCTACAAGAAGAGAAGCGTCTCTCTTTTCACTTTGCATTCGTAATAGTAATAAAGCCTCCCGCACTTCTTCGTCAGTGGCGGATTCCATCATGGAGGAAATAAAGTGAATAACATCATCTGCAAGCATGAGACTACTATTGGACTGCGGATACCCAACATCCTGGGACATGATAATAAAAGCAAATAATAATAACAATAATAACAATAATAATAATAGTAATAATAGTAATATATATATATTTCACAGACTTCTGTTTTTCGTTTGCTTCCCTTTCACTGTACTTTGATTTCGTTTTTTTTTTTTCTTGTTTTTTTCTTCTTTTTTTTCTTCTTTTCTTTTTTTAAAATTCCCTTCTTTCCCCCTTGTTTTTTTTTTTTTTTTTTCTCTTCTCTCTTTTTTTCTTTCTGCCTGGGTTTGTTTCGATTGGATTTCTTTGTATTGTATCTATACACCTATGCACGCCAAGCGCGCTCCTGCAAATATACCCACAAGTGTGTGTATATAAAAACAAATAAAGAAAGAAAGAGAAATAAAAGAGACAAAGAAGAGAATTAGTACCGATATATAAATATATAAAAAGGAATCACTTGAAATAACGGAAATACATACATACACACAGAGAGAGAAAGAGAGAAAGAGAGAGGGGAATCTAGAAAAAAAAAAAAAAAAATCATCAACAAAGCCCGATATCGTCTGGTAATGACACCAAAATCAA